AACCGACAAACCTGATCGAATCCAATATTTCACATCCGATGAGAGTTGCAATGCCGTTTCCTGCATATGCCCGAGCTCCGAGTTTGTTATATATGGTCAAGAGTCAGATGGGAAGATGTACGTGACTTTCATTCTTGTACCCAGGGGAGGGTGTGAATTTGCAGGGGGCCTGTGGCTGACTTATTTTAAGAGCATGGAATCCACCGAATTTTGAGAGAGAACAGATCTTGGCTTGATTCCCTGGTCTGACTACACGTACTAAAACCCATTTTACTTGCGCATGCTCATTTTGTCAGTTACCCCGACGCAAATAGTAAATCGGGTATGGCGTGCTTCCCCTGGTTGAGCTGGACCAACGATAGCAAGTAAGCTTGATCCGTGATGCCCATTCTTCTCGATCTTGCCAGGCACGGACATAGACCAATGGCTGTGAGACGTCTGAACATTTCACTAAATTGGCCTAAACTGATACTTATTTAGATGAGATTCATACGGCACAATAGTACTACTTCGGAAACTCAGAAGGCCCCAGGTGGAGTATTACACATGAAAGAGAAAGTTTGAAGATGCCACGAATACGCATCAAAATGAGCCCTCGCCCCTTTTATCGCTAATGAGCACGTGTCTAATCTCACTATCGGCCATGCTACGATGATCAGCCTCGCTTGCCAGTCTTCAGTCTGTATCATTCCACTCTGACTTATAGGTCCTTTTGCCTCTGGCCCGTACTTGTTCGACCATGCTTCTTCCGGCTGTAGGACTTGAAAACTCTCAATCGAGACATGATATTCGAGAGAACAGGGAGAGCTCACCTATTAGAGCGAAGATGCGCATCCTGCAAAGCCAACATCAACTGAATAGCTTTCTACACTCAAATCTTATGCATAGAAAAGCATCCTCAACCTCTTCAAAACAATCCGCTCCATTGGGTCTCCGCTTTCGCTGCCATGAAGCGCACCTGATAATGACCAACAAAAATTGACACCGAAATTCTGTGGCAATTTCAACCTGTTCGGACTTAACACCGAAAAGGCCGTATTCTACCTTATGCCCTCGGCGTTCCAGCTTCATGTTGCAGATCTGGATTACAGTTTTTATTTATCTTATTATATTGTCTATGTTTGCCAGGTCGATGCAGTTGGATTACATATGACTGGTTTAGAATGTTGTGATTGGGGCTCTTGCAGAGTATGACCCAAGCCGCACCATCGAAATCGCATTATCAATAGGAATGAACGAGCTCATTGAAAACCACTTGGACTTCATCTTGTATCCCTTTACGGTGGATATATGGACAAGGCCCGATAACCTACTCGCATATACTTGTGTCAGAAATATGGTGGATCTGCGTGTGGATTTCTGGGTATTTACCCAGAATATCTTACGACATCAAATCAGACACCTCACATAAAAGTGCATATTAGTCTTTGTCAGCATATCCTACAAAATTGTCAAGTTCATAGTTTTTAGTTAGAGAGAGTTTAATATTACCGTGAGGAAACCCATACAATGTTGGTCACTGATTTCTGTTAACTTGGATTATCGCTGAAACATGTTGAATCTTAGAAAATTAAAACTCGCAGGAAGTGTAATTACGTCTTAAGACTCGATTGATAAATAGCCGGACCGATTCGGTCATCTGCTTAGTACAGTGGTGTAGCAAAAGTATTTGAAGGTCATGTTCTGGGCCCGTATTCGATACAACTTCTTGTTATTTACCAATGTAAGGTAATTACAGGGGCTTCGTCCAGCCTGCACAGCCACCGCTATAATACAGATAAGCCACAATACTTGGAACATCTGTAATCTGAGAGTTACATGAAACAGGTATGGTCCTGTAAGATACTATTATCGTATAGTGCCGTTGCGGCTCAGTCCTTTTGGGAAATGATACCTCTTATGGATCGTGGGATTTCATTTAAGCGCTCCATAAACGAATACCGAATCATGAAACTGTCTTAGACTAAACCTTGCTTCTGAGGACTACGGCCTCTCAGAGGTCGATGACACTTATCCGAGGGCTTACCAGAGTATCCTAGCAGCAAGTGAGTTGGTTCTTCTTGTTCCTGGGAACTTCTAAACTTCACAAGTACTCCTAGGAGCTTCCTTAACTGCTGTCAAGGATATAGATGAAGCATGCGGAACGGATGGAGATATGATCCACACGGGACCCACATGGTGTACATGGGTTCCCCTGAACGCGAGGAAGCTACCTTTCTTTTGCTTCCTCGCGCTACGTCTTGTATCTGGAGTCAACTATAGTTGTTCTTAATACTGATTGTTCATCTTGGAACACTTTCCACCTCTATGTATACGTGAGACCCTCACAACTGCTGGAACGGTTTGTGGATGCTTGGGTTTTACCACTACGCCATCTAGCCGAAAAGGCACGTTTGGTCGGCGACCAAACACCCAAGCTTGATCTCTGACACCCCTAGCAACACATCAATTCCTAGGAGCCACTACAGTTGCATTTGAGAGTAAAACTCTTTCAATTCAATATTATTTAAATACCGTTAGGGATCACGGTTGCTTGCTTTTTACCGCTAGCTAAACCGATGAGAAATAACTTTAACAGACCGGGTCTGTTAAGGTTTATGCACCCTTTTACGGTATAAAAGTAGCTCCCCCCCGGGAACTTCCAATTTATATTTGAGGAATTCCCACTATGGGAAGATAAAAGTCCTCCCAGGTCAGTAGGTAGTGCAAAAACGGGTGACGACTTTCCCGTCAACAACTTATGTCGTTGGTGTTCCATATTCAGGTAACTGGTGAAGGCAATTGAACAACTCGCGTAATCGGCCTACAGCATGGACAGTAAAATTCTTTAGAAAGGGGTTTTCCCACACGTGTAGAATGGAACAGATGAATTTGTAATACTAACAACTGCTGGCTATGATATCTTTGCAATTGTGGGGGCTACCACGAGACAAAAAAATATTCAGTTCCTGATCTGTGATGATGGGCAAAAACGAGATTGGTCAACACAGCAGTGTGTAACTGGATGATTTTTATTTTGATCCCACCGCCTGGTCAATTGCTACCCTGGACAGCCGGTGTAAAAGATACGTAGAATTGAGTTCAGGAATGGATCTTAACATCCCCCATTCGTCATCCGCCGATAAGATATCGTTTTAAACACCTCTCATGAATTGGACTCGTGGGAATACTAATAATGGACAAATCAACGATATGGTAGCTTTGCACAAAGTTGAAGTGGCAAAGCATGCGATGGTGCCGTGCACATTTTGACCAATTTATTATAGGCCAAAATTTCGGGGGCTGGGGGTTTGCACGACCGACCTTCTGCTTATTCGCAAACGGGGTGCTTTTCGGTTATTGACCCCAGGAATCCTTAGTGCGTTTGTTTGCAGTTTAACTTGTTCTTAACTTGTTCTTAATTTGTGCTTAACTTGTTCTTAACCGTCTGCTGCTTACATAGTTGGTCATACTCGATATCATAGGGCAGTTGGTGCGCAAAACTACACACAACTTCTAAATAATCCGGTTGAACGGCGTGTTTATTTCGTCGAACCTAGCACTACACTCTCCCTGCTCTCACATGATTGCCTCTTTTGTTATCATCGACCCTAAGCCAGTTGATGTATCTTTAGCTAATACGTTCAAATAGCTATCAAACACTGTCAGCAGGATCGCTTGCTAGGCTTCTTCAACACTTTCCCAGCTTCCCATCCCCATACTCAACGAACCGAATTTCATCCAAAAATGTTACATAATCTTGCTCGGACAGGTGTCGACAACACTATAATCGACAAATCTCCTAATAGTTTCTAGTAACCAGACAAAATTCAGACGAACTACAGTGTATGTGGGGAGGACCACCTGGCGCCAAGTAGCTAGATGACCCGGCTGGAGAACTCCTTCCCCTTCCTCCTTCTGTACAGCGGTGCTTGTCATCACTTGTGAGGGTATCTCTCTGGCCCGGAGAACCTCAACGAGCGACATTTTCACTGAGCAAAACACCCTGGTGCTGATTGTCAATGGCGAAGATGACCCGGTGACTCCACTGGCCCCTGCCGAGCGTTTACGGAGTCAACTTCCTACATCGTCCCGGTTGGTGACCAGACGAGGCCCAGGCCATACAACAGTCAGCGTTGTGTCGTTGGGTCTAGTAGAGGCAATCCGCGCATACTTCATTGACAACACCCTCCCAACCAGCGCCGTTCACGACCTCAGCCAGCTGGTGTTCTCCTCGGCAATCAACGCCGGGACATTAACCACCCCCCTCTGGTGTTCAATGGCACATACACTGACGCAGAACGGACTATATTGAACTCTACATATAATATCTTATTACCTTTCCTCAGCTTGGCATAAGTGAGCCAGCACAGTAAGTATGGATAGCATGTAGAGTACTACGAAATACATTAGTATGTAAAAGATAGAGAAATAAGAGGAGTGAGAGGAGTGAGATAAAACAAAAAGGCCTCGTAAGAGTTGCCTGTATGGACCCTTTACTCCTCCCAGTATCCGAGTCTATCCCCAAGGGATGCTAGGTTCACAAGGAACCCATAATGGCCGATTTGCTCTTAGCCATCACCACTAGGGTAACGGACTTCGCAGCCCTCAGGCTAAGTGAGTAAATGTCAGCACGGGCTCAGACTCAGTGATCTGGTCAATGCAGTCATGTGAGAAATCACTATCCGATTCCCACGTGACTGGCCCGCCAACCCCCGCAAACCTCGCCAGTCCTGTCTCACGCAAGGTTGGAACGCCAAAACATTCTGCTTTTTTGAGACAGCTTGTAATGGCGGACCGGCGGAAGGCTTCCGCGGCCACTTAAGCTAGCAATGTCTGAAGATGAGCACATGCTGAGAACAGTGCGGAAAATTGCCTGCTTTAGGTGTGTGCCCCGTCGTCATGTCACCGTGTCTGAAGTGTTAATGTACTGACAACGGACTGAGGTGTCGGAGTCGGAAAAAAAGTGCGACCGCAGGATTCCAGTCTGTGGTGCATGCAGAGATGTTGGACAACCGTGCATGCAGATACAGTCGCGCCGACTTACGCAACAACGATCAGATGCCCACCCGGAATCCTTGCTTTCCTTCATCAAAGCTCTCGAGACGCGAATTGAGAATCTTGAGGCACGCTCAAATGCCACCTCTCTGTCGACGCAGCAACTTCAAACGCCTTCGAAGTCAAGCGCAGCATACGCGCCCAAAGAAAAGGAGGGCCTCGTCGCCTTCACTACAACAAAGGTATTTCCGGTGACAAACATCGCCTCCGACCTCAGTGAGTCCAGCGATGAAGTCACTAGCAGTCTCCAACGAGATAACTTCGGCACACGACTATGGTATTGATACCCCCAGCAACTTGTTTGAGGCATGGTCTTATTTTTACTTTTCGCTCAGGTCTAGTCCTCTCTGGCGTTCTCATCCATCACGCGATTTTTGTGACATTCTGGAGGGGGAAGGAGCCGGTTCTATGGCACAATCGCCTTCAGCGGCCCAAGATGATTTGACCGGCCAGTATTGTCAGGGTGGCAAGACTTTTGGGTCTTCTGAGCGAGTCTACCTCAGCCTCTACTTCCAAATGATTCAGCCTCAGTGGCCCCTCCTTAACCAAAGCCAATGTCAGGCTTGGTTTGCAAGATTGGAAACTCATGGCAGGTGTGAATTCGGTTACCAGACTCCTATTATCTTCATGATATGTGCTGTAGGAGCTTTGTTCTGCAGTTCCTTCGCACGCAACTGCCCACATCTAGCAGGGTCGATATTCCTCTCCCAGCAATCGATTGCCGATCAAGCCGACCGAAGCTCTCCGAGATCGATCGCACGGTTACTAATTCAACTACTGCGCGTTATTTACCTGCTACACCAGCCCGATTCAGAAACAATCAACGACGGCTTTACCACGACCGCTAAGGATTGTCGAGAATTGTTGAAGGACGTGGGATGGCGGTTGTTAAACATATCTGATGAGAACACGGTGTCCTTGCAATCCGAAGCTGGCGAAGATTTCAACAAGGATACTCTAGATGCGATCATAACCACCGCTTTCACGATTAACGAGGTAGTATGCTCTGTGTGGAGTATACCTGGATCAGGCGAAGATGGAAGACTAGATCAGACAGTATGTATCCATTTTTCGCCCCCTTTCTGGTTAGCTGAAATATATGGAGGCTCGCCATACATGGCAAACTGACTTGTCCTTCCCACCTAAAGCTTTGGGACCAATGTGCACGTCTTATGGCACGGCGTCCATTGAACCCGACTGCATCAGAACACCTACTTGAAGTCCGCTGTCTTCAATCGGAGATTCGACGATTCAATCGCAATACAGCGCATTTGGCACACGGTGATGCACGACGTGCCACGTGGCGGAACAATCTCAAGGATAGATTGGATAATTGGAGGGGGAAGATTTCTTCAGTATCCGATGACACAGATGCGTCACTCAACCACCATACTCAAACGATGAAAAAGATGTATGATTATTGTCTCTGCAATCTTTTTCAGGAGGAGCTTCTCACTCTCGATGGCTTTCGCCTTGATTGTGTCTTGCGAGCCGCGAGCGAAGCTTGTTTTTCATTCAGAAAAATCCAAGAGAATGAGGCAATGATCTATTTTACGTGCTCAGCTGTAAGTTTTCGCTAATAGCTGACTCATTGGACCTTCAGTGATTGACTAACCTTTTCCTTTTCCTCAATGTTCGTTAGCTCCTAACCCAGTTTCGCATGGGGATGATATTACTCTGCTGCTTTTGGATAACGGACTACTATGACCGCACTCCAGTGTACCTGTCTCCAGAGACGCTCGAGGCTATAGAATCTTGCTTTGATACATTATCTCGATTTACGGCTCGGTGGCCCAGCGCTGCCCTCTGGCGGGATACATTCGAGATCATAGCCAGTGCAACGCCTCTTATCCGTTTGCCGGGCCAGAAAACCCCTGTTTTCCCTGCCCAGCTTGCTCCCAGGTTAACGCAGCTTCGTGAACAGCTGAAGAAACGACATACGGCTGATGTGGTTATTGTTATTATAGATAGGATCCTATCAACTTGTGTAAACTAAACAGATATACATACAGTCTTGGTTCCAAGTCATTAGCAACGGTCCAGTATCTGAGCCTTCACAGAAGAGCCCTCAAACCCCTACTCTTTCAGAAACTCCTTGGGCTGATGTTGCCTAACAAGTAACTGGACACATTCATCATAACTTCCAGGATTATCCATGGAGCTCATGCGGTGACCTTGAGCTCCTTACACCCCAATGCCCACCCCATCAATGTAGCGAAGGTTTTTTCCCCGTCGTGTCTCAAGTCAAAAGAAGCGCGTGTGGATGCTAATTCGTCCTCATCCATATTTCCTGAGAATGCGCCTCCGTCCGTATCGAGTACGTTTCTCGAAATAGCAGATGTAAACTCAGGGTGAGCCTGGAGGCTTACAATATTTCTTGAAGGGTAATAGAACATTGAGTTATCTTCTGCCAGAGCAACCGCGTCCGGAGCAGGCTGAGCAACTCTGCGCATTCGGAAATGTGGTAATTTCTAAGGCGAATCGACGTTAGCAGGAACGTGTGAACAATAATCATATCGAAGCAGCCAACCTTACCAGAGTCTCTGCTTTGAAAAGCCTCTTCCCAGTGGCGGTGAGGCGTTCGAGTTTAGTTCCAATCTAAATCGGCACTATTACTATCATATGGCCACCATGCCAAATATTTAATATCTATGCCTGGAACATACCACATGCTTGTTGGTCACAAACGCCACTTCACCACCTAAGGCACGGGCAATTGCTTGGTGACCCCAGCAAGAGCCAATAACCTTCGTGGCCGGTGCTTTAAGGTGCATGGCCCGAATATAATCCAACTCTCTCTCAACCCAAGGATCGACTTTCTCCAGTGCCAGATTGTAGACTCCTCCTGTGAGGAAGATAATATCGTAAGTATTTGGACATGGTAGAGCCAGATCTGTGACCGCGTTGAAAAATTCGATATTCGCCTCAGGAGCCGATACTTTAATCAACGAAGTAAAAGACTCGAGCATCTTGACAGCCCATATCGCCTTGGATTCGCCAAAGTTCTTAATGATGGCCACATTCGGCCCACGGGTGTGCACAGTCATCATCGAATTAATTGTCTGTCAAAAGGTAGAAGAACATGTACAATTCCCAGAGCAATGTTGCTGTGTAGGGTTTTATGGCTCTCGGGAATGGCAGTGCGCTTCAAGGTCCCAGCTCTATTATCGTCTGCTTTGTCGGGTGACTCCATTGGAAACGGCGTGTCGGACTTTCGGACTTCAAGGCCGCCAAGTGGATGTGGGCTAAAAAGCCCACCCGCATCGTCAGAGTTGCATGCCCAATCGCAAGCCGTACCTACGGGAGTTCGCCTGGGAATGCTGACCCGATTACGGGTCTTCAACAAAAGCCCTTATCAACTCGATGGAGCTAGCGAACTTAACAACTGCTGGCCCAAATGACCATTACTCTTTGGCGTGACGTCCTCTTGCATTTCTACAGCTCCAGTCCACACGTAGCTGACTGCTCTGCCCAATGAACTCGCATAGCGGGCTGATTTCCGCAAGACAGCGACAACTCTAGTCTGGGTCCCTGGATTAGCGTAAGTATATATATCTGTGAACTGGTCGAATGGACAAAAGCCCAAATTGCACAGAGACCAGATAATAACTTTCCTACAAGTTCTATACTTGTCGAACTTAAGCAAACAATCAAGATGGCCATGACAACCGAAGCACTCGTTGTGGCGGAGCTCGGCGCGAACCCTACACTGGAGACAATTCAAATCGACGAACTGCGCCCTGACGAGGCTCTTGTGGAGATCCATACCGTGGGCTTATGTCATACGGATATTTCCTGCATCGAGGGAACGATACCGGTCGAGTTTCCCGCAGTTCTCGGGCATGAAGGTCAGTATTTCATATTCCTCTCAACCTTCGCGGTTGGATATGGATCGTCTGACCAGGGTCCAACGGTTCAGGAGGAGGAGTCTTACTCAAGGCGGGCGCTCATCTTACACACCTTACCGCGGGAAGTAAAGTGCTTCTCAGCTTCAACTCCTGTGGTATTTGCCGGGAGTGCGTGTCTTCCTTCCCTTCCTACTGTCAAAACTATTCAAGCCTGAACTTTGGCGGACGGCGCGAGGACGGCAGCCAGCCATTATCTTTACCGTTGGGGACGAAATTGTTCAGCAACTTTTTCGGTCAAAGCGCGTTCTCTAAGCTTGCAATAGTCAATGGTCGGACGATTGTTCAAGTACCACAGTCAACAGATCTAGCGCTCTTTGCACCACTTGGGTGTGGCATCCAGACGGGCGCGGGGACTATCTTGAATACTTTGGACGTGCGCCCCGGCCAGAGTCTGGTAGTCTTCGGAGTCGGGGCTGTGGGATTGGCCTGTGTCATGGCTGGGAAGCTCCGAGGTGCGGACCCCTTAATTGCAGTCGATATTGATCCGACGCGATTGGATCTTGCGATAAAGCTTGGAGCCACGCATGGGATTCTAGCTTCAGACATCACTCTCGGCATAGTGGAGGAAATAAAACGGCTATGCCCCGGAAACGGCGTCCAACGTGCTGTGGATTGTTCTGGAGTCCCGTCGGTGATCGAGCAGATGATCAAATCCCTGGGTTCGAGAGGGAAAGCCGCCACAGTCGGGGCTCCCGCGCCAGGGAAATCTGTAAACATTGATGTCTTCACCCATATCATCAAGGGTACACACTACATTGGAAGCTGTGAAGGGGACTGTGTTCCTTCAGAGGTGAGAGTCCTACTCGTTGAGAGAAATGGCACATGGAAATGGCGTATTAATGATGGCTCTAGATTATCCCTTATCTGATAGAGAAACATTCGCAGGGGCTTTTCCCGCTTGAAGAATTGGTGACAGTCTATGACGGAAAGGATTTCACAAAAGCGTTCGAGGATGCACGTAAAGGAATGGTGGTCAAAGCTGTGTTGCGCTGGAAGTAGGAGCCGGGGCCCCTCAGTCAGAATTTTAACTATAAGCTCTGGTATTCCACTGATATCATTGATAATTACAAAGACAATTGCTTGAAATACCCTGATGTAGCTTTATCATTATCCTGGCAAGCTAGGAGGGGTGAGCGACGGACACTCAAGTTTGTAAATTGTTCCATCTCAGCGTTCAAATTAGTATTTGGAACAGGGTACAAGACCCGCTTATTTTTTCTGCCAGTAGGACTCCAGAACGTCAAATACTCGCTGGAAAGTTCAAGTTCTTTGCCTTGTGCCACAGAGTCAGCAATAGAGAAGTCAGTAATAGACGAAGCCGTAGAGAATTAAAGTGAAGATAGGACGCTGTAGCCTCAATAATTGGCGCATTTCTACATGCAGGTGCAGCAGATGGATAGCCAGGCCGCATAGAAAAGCGGTACTAGGATTGAAGTAACATCGCCAACTAGGAATGAACGGTCCCTGTATGAGAATGAAGCTCGTTTTGTTAAAGAGCCGGACTGGTAAGCCATGATTAACGCGCCGTGTGGGAGTGTGAAGAGGTGCGTTGTAATATGGACTTGCGGATGCGCGGCCAATGAGAGCGCATGTAAATCAAGAGAACCTGGTATATTTAATGGCATTATTGATGAAGTACTCCCGCTTCATTCATACCGTCCTAATTCAGTCTGCTTCCTTGATACTCTGAGTTCTGAAATGGTTCAGGCATAACTCATGGAAACCAGATCTAGGAGAGTACATACGCTGCCACTCTTGCAAGTAACCCCTTTCTCGCGGGCGACTCCTGGTCAACATGGTGGTAGAAACGCCGTCCGTCGTCCAGGTCAATATCTGAAGCCTTCGGCCACCAGCGCCCACGGTACACAATTCTGCCAAGAAGGAATATGGCAACTGACACAATGACAGATAAGTAATTCGTGAAGAAATTCTTCGCCGAACTAGGTGCCCCAAGGGGCCAAACCGCGAGGTAGAACTCGATGATCACAATAAGCACACACCAGAAGAGACCCCAGCATGCTGACCATGGGAACACCCGGGATTTCCATGGGAGTTCACAAGCGCTGCGCCCTTGTGCCTTCCAAGCATAACGCATCCGAAGGTGTGATAAAAAGATCATGCTCCATCCAAAAAGAGTCACTAAGGACGTGAGGTGAGAAAACCAAGTAAACACGGTCGCCCCGCTGTTATCGACGTTGAGAAAAGCCAGGGCTCCTCCAAATAAGAGGGATGGAATGAGTCCTGCCCAAGGGCGCCCAGATTTATCAGCTTTCGAGAAGATAGCTGGTGCCATACCCAGCTCTGACAGTCCCAGCAGGGTACGGGCTCCAGCATAAGCCTGGATACTCCCCGTAGACAGGACGGAGATCAAAATTATTGCGTTCGTAAAATGAGCCAACACATCGAGTTTCGCATCGCGATAGGCAATAACAAAGGGGGATGCGTTGACACCAACACCCCCGTAAAGGTTGGGATTGAATGGCGAGACTGTCAGAGTCACCATTACCGATCCAAGAAGGTAAAAAAGAGAAAGCCTAATCCAGACTGATACCACTGCGCGTGGAATAGCTTTGCGTGGATTGGCTGCCTCGCCAGCGACCAAGGCCGAAGCTTCTGATCCAGCCTACCCAGATTGTGGAATTAGATCAATTATTTGTTAACTGGGCAGTTAGACATACCATTGCGAAAATGCAAGTTGGGATCGTATTCAAAAAACCCTTGAACCCATTTAAAAAGCCACCAGTCTCTCCCCAGTACCTGAAGCCAATTGGTGATCCAGCTGGCGCTCCGCCAGCAGTTATGACTAAAGACGAGTTATTAGTTATCAGACCTGGCAAAGGAGGAAACGTGTCTCTACCAAGGAAAGAAATGATAACGACAATCATCCAGCCAAATTTAATTATGGACAACACTACTTCAACCTCTCCGAAAATTCTAACTGGCCCTGCATAAATTCATCAGCTGGACGCCCAACTGTCCACGAATTAATATACACGTACCAATATTTATAAGAATTATCACGGCCCAAACGATCATGAGTCTTACAGCGACAGTTGGCTCACTGGTCCAAAACGAAATAACAGTTGAGGTTGCCTACACAAATTAAATGGTGCAAACTCCCAACTCAGTTTCAGATACATACCGAGATCTCATTCGCCATTGTGATAAAGTGACCGAAAACATAACTCCATCCCAGTGCTAGAGCTGCGGCGCGACCCACGAACTTACCCGTCCATTGGGTAAAGGCCGATGGAAGCGGATATAGGACTGCCATCTCTCCAATCGAATGCATCACCGACCACACGATAGATGAAGCAAGAAGATACGCGATGAAAATGGCGGCGGGGCCACCATGTTTTAATGCTGTTCCGCTTCCCAGCCAAAGACCAGTGCCAATTGAGGACCCAAGAGCAATCATTGTGATGTGGCGGGTGCTCAATTATCGCTGGAGTTGAGATGACGCTCCATGATCTTCACTAACGACGGTGCCTTTGCTGGCTTCAACATTGTGATCGCCAACAATGGTGGCGGATCCTTTTTCAATCTCTGTAGTAGTCATGTTCTTTGTGGCCGTATTTTTCTTGCTGGATGTACGGAAATACCTACTTCTTTCTGCATTCCGGGGAGATGTCTGTTTAAAAATGACAGGACCGCTTGCCTTCTATATCTCTTCTCTACCTGATGAGCACGCCACACTTGATATAACGGTTTCCTATTCGATGACATTTAGCAGGAAATTCTTCGGGGTGTAGCGGACTTTGGAGTCCGACTCCCCACTTTCCCTCTGACCTGGAGCCAATACCCCGATCCGACCTGACGGCGTCGATCGAACCATCGGTGGAAGCCGATATCCGGCGTTCCGTGATAGAGAATACTCCATGATAGCTGGTCGCCTGGTAGTAGGTACCCCAGTTTCAATAATGCTTATCGGAAGTGGAGGTGGGGGTGTGGTGGGCTTGAAGCAAGTGCAGATCGAACTTGTGGAGCAGTCTCAAAGTTTGGGTTGAGCCTTCATGTCGCACTTTCGGACCCAAAAAGTCCGGTAGTGATGTGGAGTCGGGTAAGGGTAAGCCTGGGTCTCCATGACGAATTGAGAAAAGACCTACCGCTTCTCCCTGGTTGCTCCGCGCTGTTAAAGGGATATTGTGAAGTGGAGTCCTAGGACTGTGACAAAATTCTCTCTTGATATTCAGATATCTCTCTGCTGAAGTTGATGACCATTGGAGATCATGGAGTAAGAAATTTGGGGTTTGATTTGATTTTGATTTTAGACTATTTAACGTCGCTTGGCGGGACACGCTGGCACGTAACCCGCTACCGGACGTGCTACCTAAGCAAAATGCCTGAAAGTAAGATGCTGAAAGAGTAGAAGGGCCCTAGAAGGGCCCCGAGTACTACCCTGACTCGGGTTCCTATGGGCAGATAAGCAGGCCTAGTTTTTCCCAACAATGAAATTTTTCCTAGCAATGCCACAGATCCCAGGTCCCTGATCCCGCGGTGTTGCAGTTCCCTAAAAGAGCCACTTCTTTAGGTTATACCAGGCCTTGCTAGTGTAGAGGGGAAACGACCCAAAACCCGTAGGAAATGGGGGAAAAGACCTCCACAAATGTTGGTGTAGACATGAGAGGGAGTGGATCCTCCCTAAAGAGGAGGCGAGGCTCACGGGGAGCCCAAAGAGGCGCTCTGCTCCTGGCCATCGCTAAGGCGATGTTACCGGGCTGAAGAACGAGGAGGTGGCAGAGTCGGTCTTTGCAGCCCTAAGAAATTGGGGGCGAGAAAAGGGAGAAATCGATTGCACCGGCTAGTGACGTGACTGTCGCCTTGTCTTGGCAAGCACTTGACGTCTGTATTTTAGCCGACCAAGGCCAGAGGGTTCCAGCCATGCACCGAGTTTGTCGGGCGCTCTGAGTCCATGATGGTGACATTCGGAGCTGGTTCTAATGACTTTTCGGAAATACAAGATGAGATGCTCGCCGATACAGATGAAAGTTTGTGATACCGCCTTCACTTGAAGCTATTAGAATGGCCAAGGTAAGCTCGAATCTTGATCAGGGTTAAGATCAAAGAAGGCAATTTATGTTGTAGCAGGTTTGAAGTTCTGATAGTTTGCAAAAGGAGACCCAGCACGGTGGTCCCATTGTTATAAATACAACAGCCTCTGCTATCCGCACACTCCGCTTGCTTGCGGATTTCAAAGGCTCAGACCTCGTTAACAGAAAGTTGCCTATCACGGTGTTACAATATTGAATCCAGCGACCGGAAGCCTTATAAACGAGACGATCAGTCGCAGTTTCTCAATACCGTCCTCTTCCATCCTTTCGACCTCCTGAGGCAAACGGCCTGTACTAAGAGTCGTCAACAATTGGCCCTTGGTGAGGGAGCAAGCCGCGGTGCCATCTCTTCGGTTTGCTGGGCTGTTCTTTCGGCGGATTAGGGCGCCATTGCTTAAGAATATCCGGTAATTCTCGTTGCTGTCAGTGATGTCCAAATCTACTGCTATAGTTTCATGCTGTGCGCGCAGACCATCTATCCGCACTGCAAGCGATGAAAGGATCTGGTCGACATTCGCAGCAACTAGAACACCGCCGCTGATTTGCGCCGGAGCCGCCTTGGGAGAACCCTTGCGTAGCTCAAGAGCAGCAACCAGGTAGCTATCCCTCCACGGAGCACACATAGAGCACCAAGCTAGCTGCTCATATACACAGGCCAACCGTTCCTTCGCTTCGGTATGTGCTGGCTGGGAGAAGACAGCGTGGTTGAGCAAGGCTACGGCGAACCTGAGGTCGCCTCGATCAACAAACTCTGATGCCTTGCGAACTGTTTCATCTATGCCTCCCATACAAGCGACGTATCGCTCTGCTAGTTGAACTGGCGGATATTCCCACAAGTGAGCGGGATTTCCATCGTACCACCCCATGTAACGCTGATAGATACTCTTCACATTCTGGTTGAGGGAGCCATAGAAACTCTGAGCATGCCAGGCCGTTTGTAGGCCTTCGGGAAGGGTCAACTCCTCGGCAATTTCAGTGCCCGTAAGGCCCTGGCTCATCATGAGAACCGTTTGATTGTGGAGGTAGGCGTATAGATCACGCTGCTCGGACAGAAAGCGAACAACACTTTCTTTGCCCCAAGTTGGCCAGTTATGACCACCAAAACAGACTTCCACATCTTCAGTGAAGAGCACGATGGCTTCGTCCAGATATTCACTCCATGCCTGCGCATCTCGAACCTGTGACCCGCGCAGGGCAGTGATATTGTGTAGACTTTGACTGGCGTTTTCAGAGATGCACAGCGCGCGTCGGTCTGGAATAAGGAAGTTCATCTCGGCAGGCGCTTCAGTGCCAGGCGTCATTTGGAAGAGGAATCGGACACCATCAATCACTTCCTCCTGGCCGGTTTTTATGATATCCTTATTCGGTGGGATCAACTCCCTTGACCCTTTGGAAGTACCAAGACAAGTACCACACGCCACATGTCCCTTCGGGCCTATCTCCAGGCGGCCACCAAATTGGAAACCGGATCTTCGACCCATCGGTGGACCGGCGATCACATTTTCGCTGACCGCATGGAACATAAAATCCTTTGGTGCATATATCGGAACCATTGGTTTCTCCTCGGGAAGTACCCCACGCGCCCCTCCGTAATGATCCCCGTGTGGATGAGTGTATATAATCGCCGTAACTTCGCGATTACCTCGATGACGACGGTACAGTTGCATGCCCTCAGCGGCTGTCTCTATGGACATGAGAGCATCGATTACAATGATCCCCTGATCACCCTCGACGATCGTCATATTTGACGCGTCCAGTCCTCGAATCTGATAGATTCCTTCGCTGACCAGGAAAAGTCCATGAGGGAGACACAGTTGAGCCTGACGCCATAGCATCGGTGCCACCGTACTCGGGCATTCGTCTGATCGCAGGAAATCGTACTCGCGAAGGTCCCACACTGGCCGGCCATCCGCTGTTCTAATGACGGTTTGTTCAGTTGAAGCGATGTGCCCGCGTGCTGCGTTCTGAACGACTTCTTCGGGGGGGTTGAACGTCAATTGCATGATTGATTGAAAAATAGAGAGAAAGAATCGAGAGAAAACGCAGGGTTTTGCGCTCGAAAGATACGCGATACCAATCAGGATTGCGCTCTTTTAAGTTCAAAAGCCAAGACAAGCGAAGCGAAGGTATTCAGGCGCCAGAAATCCGCTAGACCAAATTAAGATTAGCTGTCGGACATGGCGGACTCGAAGTGCGTTGCGAAAGTCCTTATCAGAGGTGGGACAGACCAGATAGATACGAAGATAAGTAGCCACTACAGATTCTCGGAAGAGGTTCCGAACCCTCTCCTGACGGCAAAGTCACTCACAGGGATAGCCTTCCAGCATTGGTGACGTCGCCCAGCCCCCGCGCCCTGCACTCCCCGTTTCCCCAACGACCTTAAAGAGTCAAAGAGAGTCGCCACTCCCCTTTTCCCAGACCCATAATCGGCCCAAACCTCAGTCAACGTCCTCCCTCCCGGTGTCCATCAACCACTGCCCAACGAGATCAGCTTACTTTGATTCTGTCGCATCGTCGCCATGTCTTCTCAGATCAATACTACGGTCAGTCTTTTAACCAACTAGGCTATGTAAAGACGTATCTGATGGGTAACAAGCATTATCCGGGGAACATAATCAATAACCAGTTCGTCCCTACCGCTAAGACCCGCCATTCCATCAACCCTTCTACTGGCGGGGCATTATATGATGTACCTTATGTCACCGAGGAAGATGTCGACAAGGCTGTTGAGCACGCACGCAATGCCTTCAAGTCCTGGTCCAGAGTTCCTTTTCAGGAGCGTGCAAGGCTCCTTGTAGCGTATGCGGACGCCATTGAGGCAGAGCGTGTGCCACTAGAGAAGCTTCTGGTTTTGGAACAAGGCAAGCCTCTTGGACTGGCCCAAAAGGAGTTTGATATGAGTCTTCATTGGTTGCGAACATTTGCCACTATGGAGGTCAAAGATGAAGTCCTTGACGATAATGAGGAGAGGACTATCACCCAGACCTTCCCGCCACTGGGCGTGTGCTGCGGTATCGTTCCCTGGAACTGGCCTGTGTTGCTTGCACTCGGTAAGGTTGGACCAGCACTCATCACCGGCAACACCATGATTGTGAAACCATCCCCATTTACTCCTTACTGCGATCTGAAGCTCGGCGAAATCGGCATGCGCATCTTTCCACCCGGAGTCCTTCAAGTACTAAGCGGAGGAGATGACTTGGGACCAATGCTCACACAGCATCCTGGCATCGATAAAATCACATTCACAGGTTCAACTGCAACTGGAAAGCTGGTCATGCAGAGCTGCGCCAAGACACTGAAACGCCTTACACTTGAGCTGGGTGGCAACGACCCGGCCATCATCTGTGAAGACGTTGATATTGATGCCGTCGTTCCCAAGATCACTACTCTTGCATTCCTGAACTCGGGTCAGATTTGCATGCTCATCAAGCGGGTATACATCCACGAGAGGATTTATGATGCCTTCCGTGATGCTATGGTCGCATTTGCACAGTCAATCAAGACGGGAGATGGGTTTGAGCCCGATGTGCTCGTTGGCCCGATCCAAAACAGCATGCAGTAAGTGTGGAGACTAGGTCCCTGACAGGATTTCACAGTAGTTGAACTGTTATTGACAAAAGTCTTTAGATATGAGAAAGTGAAGGACATGTACTCTGAGATTGGAAAACGCAGTTGGAAACAGGCTCTGGAGGGCAAGGTGTTCGAGAATTCAAATGGTTATTTCATCACCCCTGCTATTATTGACAACCCTCCCGAAGATTCCCGCATTGTTCTAGAGGAGCCTTTTGGGCCCATTGTGCCCCTTCTCAAGTGGTCCGAGGAGGACGACGTTATTGCACGTGCCAACAAAGTGAAAGACGGATTAGGTGCCTCCGTCTGGAGCAAGGATCTCGATCGGGCGGAGCGAATGGGCAGGCAATTGGCAGCTGGTAGTGTTTGGTTGAACTCGCACTTTGATGTTGCTCCTAATGTTCCATTCGGCGGACACAAATGCAGTGGTCTCGGCAGTGAATGGGGTATGACCGGCTTGAAGTTGTACTGTAATTCCACCTCACTTTGGAGGTGGAAAAAGATCATGTAGTCATCCCTAAAGCATATAGTGACTCGTTTGCATGGTCTTGAGTTCAGTGGGCTTCTCAGGAATTTCTTTTGCTTTTTCGAAGGAAATATTGCACCATACAAGATAGCCTCGTGTTTCACCAAATCCCAAGAGTTTGACGCATTTATGAGTTCCTCCCTTTTCCGCTTGGAGCAACCATCAATCTACGACTAGTCCTGTACCGCCCGATCGGCGACATTCTTTACCAACCGTTAATCCACGAACACATCTTTAGTGCCAGCCACGTTGCGCCAAAGCTTCGCGCGAGTTGGTACCAGTTTTCCCAACGGCCAGCGAAATTACCTGTTCATTCAAGCTCTAACCCTAAATCTTAGTGTGCGAAAGGCGGAACAGCCTCGAGCCTATTATTAGTGAAAGCCTTTGTAATTGTAGCTTATGCAGAGCAAACTTCTTCAGGAAAACCCCCTCGCTAAGAGGCAATGACTAATAGTATCTTGCACAGGTAGGTTTACTGGAGCACGACACTCAAAAACCAGCGGCGATCTTTGGTGGATGCCACGTAGGAAATGCCACTCTAATCGATACTTTGACCATTCCCTCGCTTTCTCTTGAACCACAAACCACAATGTAAATAAACTGAGGACTGTGAATTCAACAATCTAGTTGAATGTTGGTGGTCCAAGTCCACCGTTCCATATAAGTATTCCAACCAGATGAGCCTCCGTGCTACGGTAGTCCATTCCCCAGATCCGCGGTCACCGGTAAGGTCGAGCCTATGGAATTTGTCTTTCTCGCCAAAAAGCTATTGCATATAGTTTGGCCATACTGTACTGCGGTACTCCGTACTTTCGCTTCATTTTGGGTTGCGCGACTGGACTGGAGGATTTCGAGCTCATATTCATTGATCTTTGGTAGAATATAAATGCGAACAAGATAAACCCCGCTCCGTAAACCACCAACAAGGGAAATTCGAACGAACGTCACCCTTGGCTTCCTCCGTAACCAGAGTATCCTTCACAACTCCTTCCACTACACCATCCTTTGCGCGGCCATCCCGGCCGTCGGCTGCCGCTATTATGTTCGCTTAGATCAAGTTACCGCTCCATGTCTCAACGTCAGGTTTGCTACCACATCCGATTGTTCAACACTGTCTACCGCATTATTAAGCTGTAAAAGAGGCGACCTTGGTATAAGACAAACCTGGCAGACTTCGCCATTCTATACAGGTTAGTACTCTTAACTATATTGCATAATGGTGGGACCTACCGGACAAGAACCTCTAGAGTAGATGATGCCAGCTTCATTGCATCCACCGACAGCAAAACAGCATTCGCCACCATCATCGCAGTAGGCATTAACGTCCTGGTCCGCAATCTGGTAATCGGTGCAAGGATCTGCAATAGTGAAGGTAGCAAGGCTAACAAGGCCTGCTACTAGAATAGTCAACTTCATAATGTGTTGAGTAGCGACAAGGAGAGGGGTTTCACAGGAGTTGGATATAGATAAAACAGAACTTGGTTATCCGATGGGTATTATATATGTATTTTCTGGGCCTACTTCGTAGCTTCCTCATGTGAGGCTTAATGACAAACTGAACTTATTGGACAAGCACTCTGGCCAATGGAGAAAATGCCTCACGAGTACACGTATTCTGCCTAGCTTATACCGAGCTGTCGCTCTGGACTGACTACTCAGTGCGAGAAAGCGTCGGCGAAGATGGGGATACAAGTTGGTAATTTGTTTGGGGGCAGATTGCTCTTTTTTGCTGGAGACCGGGATGCAACGTGTCCTTCTTCCCTCCATTAAACTATGTACTTAAGGGCCAAACTGACTGGAACGTAATTTCAAGTCATCCTAATCCAAACAGAACTCTGCTGTTCAGCGATCACAGTCTCCCTCCCCACGCTCAGGCCCCTTGTTCGGCAGGTACTTGGTGTTAGTTGGTTGAACAGTGGTTCCTTGAGTGATACCCATTCCTCACGGACGCCAATTATAGCGTCAAGACCAGCCTATCATATTCCTCTGGATGCATTCGGGGTCACAAGATGGGAGGAGCGAGATCATTATGAGCCCGGCCACCCGAGGTCCGATCATGAGGGGGTTGAGCTAGGGAACAACACGACGTTCACGGCGGAACCGCAATATGAGGGTGCTAGTGGTCTGACGGATGAAGGTGATAGCTTGAGACTATAATTGAGGACTCCTGCAAAATCCTGCCATGATCGGATACATCCGTATATTAGGCAGGAGGACGAAGTCCAACTGTATTTGTATTAGATATAGTAATTCTAAAGAAGGCTATAAAATATTATTCCACCCAGAAGTTATCCCAACTACCAATCGCCAATTTATCTTATTCCTAGCTGTCAAAAAACGTATTCCTAGCTGTCAAGAGCGTATCACTCTGTGTATCTTCTCTCTCAACATACTCAGCCCTTGGCGTACAAATCCGTGGTAATCAGTATTTTACAGCCCTAGTCTACAATTATCATCTGATGTATGAGATATCTAGGGCATTGGATTATGATGATGAAATGAACACAATATGCATGGTAGTTAGCCGGGATATATTGATTGCTTTATAACCTTAAAAGTGTATAAGGATTGAGATTTTAGAGAATGATAATCGGCATTACTTAACGCTAGATCCCATATTTCCCATTACGGATTAGCGTTACAGTACGTCCCGAAACCGGTGTGACCACTTTCACTCTTCCACTGAATCTTATCAGTTCAAGCTAAAAGTGTATGGACTAGTATGCATATTTGACGAATGAGATCAAGCGGAACCAATTCAAGATGAAAAAATGATTGATTGAACAGAAAGCGTGCGGTCGAGGGCAGGTTGAAATACCCCCGGAATGTGGTGATACTCGGTGGTTATAACACCGAGATTGCGAATTCAACCAAATTACTATACAAAACACAAAGAAAGGTGGGTTCCTGGGCAACCAATCGCATGCTAGTGGTAAATAACCACTCCCTGCGCTGACAAATCTCTAGCGCCGATGCCAATATACACTAGCCTATTTCTGGAGTTGTTCCGGCGTACACCTGTCAGTTCTACACACATGTAATTTTTTATACACATATTACATATGTAGTACCTCCAGGTTTGTATTAACGTGTTTGCCAAGCGAGCCGCCACCCCAAGCGAGCCGCCACCCCACCGCTATCTAATTATTTTAAATGCATTTATCTTAACCAAAACGCCATTAAAATTCGATAAGCTAAACTCGAGGTCTATTAGGACATGTAGTTATTCTATGACCCTGAATTCCACATACACTACACTTCGTTTTTGCCCTCGTACGCGGCTGAGAAGGTGCCGGAGCTAGCCCTGCCTCATAGGATCCTTGTGCTAAAACTGCTTGCTCTGGCTGTGAAGGGTCGAAGCAAGTCTTGATTCAAACTAGCTAAGCCGTCATGCTGTCTATCAAAAGCTTAAGGAAAGGAAGATCTACGTGGCCGTGCAGCGGTGTAAACATGCCTAGTCACGTGGTCAGCACGTGATGTATACGGGCCCTGGCCCGTTACAGTACCCCCCCTCCCCTCCGTCACCCATTAAGAGTGAGTTAACGTGCGTTGAGTCGGAGATTGGTCTATCGTGTGTCGAAACGTCACCGAACCGCTCCTCAAACGCTTCTAATGCGGAGCAGTCTTGCAAGTTCTTCACAGGTTCCCATGTTAACTCCGCGTAGCCAAGCCACTTCACTAACACTTCGCGACGTCGCCCTCTACCAATCTTCCTCGTTCTTGCTGCTATAACTTCCTCGACCTGGTATTCGAGTTCGTTACCGACTTGTATCGGTGGCGGCTGTGAATCGTCTACGAATTGAGAGTGTAGCGGATCCGTCGCGGCTGGCCTAACGAGTTCGACATGGAAGACTGGGTGTATACCGGACGGGACGTCGAGTTTAACTGTGTGTGGTGTCGGGACTTCTAGCACTGTATAGCGCGCATGTAACCAGTCGAGCTTCTTCGATAGTCTCTGCGAGCGGACGTTCCGGAGGTTCAACCATACTTTATCGCCCGTACGGTAGACTGGTGCAGCTTGCCTTGTCCGGTTCGACTGATTCTGTTGCTTCTCTTGTGCGTTTGCGATTGCTGCTTGTGCCCATTCGGTGGCTTCTCGTAGGCGGTTCACGAACTTTTCGCCAGCGTTTTCCGGTCCACTCGCTGCTTCTTGTACGTTTCCTTGTTCAAGCAACCCAATCGGCTCGATATGATAGCCGTGTGTGAAGAAGAAAGGTGAAAGTCCTGTCGACGCTGCTTCTCGGTTGTTTATCGCTCCCGTAACAATAGGCAATAGACTTTTCCAGTCCGTTTGTGCGTAAGAGGCGAATATCCGTAGGATTCGTTCGACTTCTTGATTCGCTCGCTCTGTAGATCCGTCTGATTGAGGGTGAAAGGCAGTGGATAATCGGCGTTGAATCCCTAGCCTTTCGCATACGCGTTCCCAGAACCCACTCACGAATTGTGAGCCTCGATCACTCTTGATAGCTACCGGTAGTCCATGATACATGTAGAAATGTATTAGGAATACGTCCGCTAGGGCGTCCGCTGTAATCGACTTTATAGCTACGGTGATAACGCTCTTAGTGAGTCTGTCCGTGACTACTAGGCAATTCGTAGCGCCTTCATGCCCCGAGGGTGGTAGGTCGGTAATAAAGTCCATTGAGATCTCGGCCCATATTCGGTCAGGTATTGGAAGTGGTTTAAGCAGGCCCTGCTTAGTGTCACGCCAAATCGTGCTTCTTCCGCAAACTGTACAATTTCGGAGGAATCTTCGTACGTCCTTCGCCGCACCGGGCCAGAAAAACCGGCGAGACAGTATCGCATAGGTGGCGTCTCGACCTGGGTGACCCGTAATATGAGAGTCATGGACACGTTGTATCACTCCAGTCCGTAAGGGTTCGTTATCTGGGATCCAGATACGGTCACGGAAGCAAAGAAGTCCTTGTTCGTTCAACTGGCATTCGGCGAGGCTTATTTTAACGTCTATTTCGGCTGCGATTCGTCGCTCTCCGTCCTTCAGCGCTTGAGAGATCGTACGGTACACTTGGTCGGACTTTCGGCTCGTTTCCCAGAGAGATTGTAGTGTGGGCTCCTCGAATAGAGGGACTGGGGTCTCGAAGTCTAAAGTGGAGTCGTCTACTTGGACCCGTTCAGTGTTCACGTTCACCTTTTCGTGTATAGACCGCGGGTGGTTCGATGTCGTTTCGTCGGCGTTTTCTTGGGGAGTTTCCACGGTCTGGCCCGTATCCACGTTCACTTTCTCGAACATATATCGGAAGCGATTCGATATCCTTTCGTCAGCGTTTCCCTGAGGAGCATCCTGGGTTCGTCTTGAAAGGGCGTCCGGTCTAGAAGCTAGCTTTCCAGGACGGTACTGTAGGTCGAAATCGAACTCTGAGAGTAGGTCTGACCAACGCATTTGCCGTTCGTTTAGGTGCCTCGCTTTTGCGAAATATCGAAGGTTCTTATGGTCTGTGAGAATCTTGAATTTCGGTACCATTTTGAGTTCAGGCCGCCATTCACGAAGTGCGCGTATAATCGCTAGTAGTTCCTTGTCGTGTATCTCGTAGTTCGATTCCGCCGGATTCAGTTTTTGAGATAGGTAAGCGACAGGTCGTAAAGAACCATCATCGGAGACTTGGGATAGGACTGCTCCAGTAGCCCAGCCGGACGCGTCTGCTTCCACAATTGTTTCTCGGCCTTCTTCGAAATGAGCTAGTATCGGTGCATCGATAAACTTTTCCTTCAATTCTGTGAATGCTCGTTGGCAGGCGTCGTTCCACGTGAATAAGGCTTCTTTTCGCGTTAACTCGATTAAAGGTTTCGCATAGTCAGCGAAACGCGGTATAAACGAGCGGTAAAAGTTGGCGAATCCAATGAAACTCCGTACGTCTTTTACTGATTTAGGCACTTCCCATGATCGAATTGCGTCCACCTTCTTTGGGTCAACACAGACACCCTGCCCAGCGCGGATGATAAAACCAAGGTATTTCACAGAGTCGCGTTCGAATTCGGACTTCTTAATGTCGCATTGAAGTCCGGCATCCCGCAGTTTTCCTAATACTTCGCTGACCTTTCGTTGGTGATCCGCTAGCGAATCGCTAGAGTAGATGATGATATCATCTACGTATGCGGACACAAAATCATCGAGGTGTTCTTGTAGCACTTGGTTGATATACCGTTGGAAGGTTGCGGGAGCGCCAGTAAGACCGAAGGGTGTTACGTTCCACTCGTAAAGACCGTATCGTGTTCGAAAGGCCGTTTTCCATTCTTCGCCAGATTGTACACGGATTTTATGGAAAGCGGCAATAATATCGAGTTTCGTGAACCAGCGAGCGCTGGCCATATTCCGTAAGGTTTCCTTGATCAAGGGTAATGGGTATCGGTCCTTAATCGTGAGTTCGTTAAGACCTCGGTAGTCTACACAAAAACGTATTCCTCCACCAGGTTTTCGGACGAGTAA